CAACAACAACAACAACAACAACAACAACAACAACATGCATTGGCTGGCAGGGCAATTAAAAGGGAAGACAAGTGATGTGCTTAATCATGAGCCGAGGTAGCACAGTGGTTAGAGTGCAGCACTGCAAGCTATTTCAGTTGACTGCTAGCTGCAGTTCGGCAGTTCAAATCTCACTGGCTCAAGGTTGACTCAGCCTTCCTTCCTTCCTTCCTTCCTTCCTTCCTTCCTTCCTTTCTTCCTTCTTTCCTTCTTCCATCCATCCATCCATCTAACATCCCTCCCCTTCCTTCCTTCCTTAGAATGCTGCATTGCAGGCTAAGTCTGCCCACTGCCAGCAGTTCGATCCTGACCATCTTAAGGTTGACTCAACCTTCCATTCCTTGCGAGGTGGGTCAAATGAGCACTCCAGATTGTTGGGGACAAGAGGCTGACTCTGTAAACCGCTTGCTATGTGAAATCCTAAAAAAAAAAAATCCCTAAAGATCTTTTCTCTGATTAATGGCAATATCCAGATGTGAGGAATGTGACAGTAGCATGATTAGCACACGGGAGAAAAGCCTGCCGTACCAAAAATCCTGACTCACGTTGAAACCCAGGAACTTCAAATAAAAAACAAAGAAACAAATCGTGATAGCAAGAACCTTTCGCAAAATTTAAAAAAACAACAACAGGGTAATTCCCTGATCTGAGTTGATTAAAGGGTGGAGGTGTTACACAACTGATGCATTTGATTAAAGGGTGGAGGTGTTACACAACTCTGGTGGTGTTGATGATACGGCAGCTGCTTTAAACAGCAATCATAGAAGGAATGGGAAGAAACGGTGAAGATGTTGAGTGAATACTCTGGACCGGTGTTCCTCAACCTATGGAGGTTCTCCGTCATCTTCGAGGTCATGGGTGTCCCAAAGGGGATTTTTCAAGAGGCAACTGGACTTTCTGATTTTTCTTTGAAGACGTTTCGCTTCTCATCCGAGAAGCTTCTTCAGCTCTGACTGGATGGTGGAGGAATGGAAGGATTTCTACTCTTTGCAGACAGCTGGTCATTTGCATCCTTTTTAGAGAGTCGTTGAGGCCACTTGGAGGCTCATCTGTGTCCTTGGGGGATGGGGCACATGGGTCATGCAAAATTGCCAGCCAACATTGAACAGCCCTCCCTCAACAGAGGAGGAGGGATACAACACCATCCATCTCCAGTCTACGCCGCAGTCCTTTCAGCGGTTCCACCACAAAACCGGGTTCGACTAAACCGCACTCGACCAAACCGCGTAGCTGATGTCATCAACAGGGCGACAACAGCACGGAGACAGAAGCACGCTGTAAACGCTAAACCTAAAATTAACCCCTAAACCTAACCCCCCTAAACCTAACCC